TGACACTTATTTTGAACATTACCATTAGGAAAATGTTTAAATCCACAATATTCTATACATTACACTTTTAAACTGATTGTGCTATAGGCCCTACCAGAGAGAGAGAGAGAGGTATATTTTCAATACATTATGGTCTTCCACTTCTATAGCGCATGATACAGTGCATAGCAAACGTTATGTACCCACTAATAATACTTAGGTCCAGTGGCGTAGGTATGGACAGTGCAGTCAGTGCACAGCACTGGGGCCCGGGGCTATTGGGGGCTCGTTCAATAGGGCTAATGATCTAAAAATATAACTTTAAAAAAATCCTATTTAAACTTTAAAAGGACCCTTCAATAATTAATAGGTTTTAGATGCTATATATTATTGATTATATTCATTATAATTTAGCTATTACCTATTTCCCAAACGCTGCAATTAAAAAAAAACAACAAAACAAGCCCTTACGTATACGATGCACTACTTTTTTGAAATCACATTTCTAAAGCAATAACATATCGTCACGCACATTTGTGTTTGTAGTATTAAAGTTGGTTGAACTATTATTGTGTACGATTAAACACTTCAGATCATCATACCATCATGAATACATTGTACATTCAATTCACTGCAAGTAGGTCGATGACAATACCTGGATTTGCGTCAGGAGAATCAATTAAGGGGCCTATATGTATTTTGCCCAACCTGCCGTGAAAATATATTGAATACTCAGTGCGTGATTCAATATACATTTTTAAATCACATTTCTAACGCAATAAAATATCGTCACGCACATTTGTATTTGTGGTATCACTGTGTCCCACTATAGCCAATTTGGCAACCACTGGACACAATGAAAAAGAATAGGATTATCTTGGAAAATATTAAACAAGATATTTATAGTTCACTGTGTCCCACTATAGTCAATGTAGGGCACTGAAAAAATTGTTGGATCATCACCCCCCCCCCCGCGTGAAAAATTCGGGAAATATTGACGAGGGATAAAAAAAAATACTTTTCTGCATCAATTATTTTAACCGCATAACACAATGCAAATCGGTGACTTCAGATACATTTCTTAAAAAACTATAACATTTAATCCAGTTTTTATACAATATTTATTATTACTAGCCAAATATAAACAGTCCCTCCCTCATCAATTAAAACAAAAGAGAAATAACCAATTGTTCGGATTTTTAAAAAAACAAATAAACGCCCTCCCTCAACGTTTATTTCTTTTTTAAAGAGTGATAATCTAATAATGTTTTTCTATGTGCTCTTAGCAGTCATTGAACACAATGAAAAAGAAAATGATTAACTTAGAAAATATCATGGCTTCTAGTATATAAATAGTTCACCTAACGTAATGGTACAACAAGTTTTGAATATGAAATACAATATTATATTTTCACTAAGTAAAATAATTTATAAAAATGTTCAATGTTATTATATTTATACTACTCTATGTATTGAAAAGAAGGGCACTTATATAATTGTTTTTGTTTATTTTCATTTTCAATGTAATGTATGATTAAATGAATAAAATTGTAAATAAAAAAATTAAAGTTTATTATTTTTTTTAAAGAGTGATAATCTAATAATTTTTTCTATGTGCTCTTAACAGTCATTGAACACAATGAAAAAGAAAATGATTAACTTAGAAAATATCCTGGCTTCTAGTATATAAATAGTTCACCTAACGTAATGGTGCAACAAGTTTTGAATATGAAATACAATATTATATTTTCACTAGTAAAATAATTTATAAAAATGTTCAATGTTGTTATATGTATACTACTCTATGTATTGAAAAGAAGGGCACTTATTTAATTGTTTTTGTTTATTTTCATTTTCAATGTAATGTATGATTAAATGAATAAAATTGTAAATAAAAAAATAAAAAAAAAACTTAGAAAATATTAAAGAGGACAGTTGTACTTTATCACTGTGTCCCATTATAGCCAATTTGGCAACCATTGGACACAATAAGTAAGAATAGGATTATCTTGGAAAATATTAAAAGATATTTATAGTTTATCACTCTGTCCCACTATAGCCAATTTAGGGCACTGAATAAATTGTTAGATTATCACTCCCCCCCCCCCGGAAAAATTCTTGAAATATTGATGTGGGAATAAAAACAAATTTTTTTTGCCGCATCAATTATTTTAACTGCATAACACAATGCTATTTAATGACTTCAGATGCATTTCTTTAAGAAAACTATAAAATTAAACCAATTTTTATACAATATTTACTAGGCCTATTACTAGCTATTACTATTACTAGCCAAAAATAAATAGTCCCTCCCTCATCAATAAAAACAAAAGCGCAATAACGAATTGTTCTGATTTATAAAAAAACAAAAACAAACAAAAACCGCCCTCCCTCATCGTTTTTTTTTTAAAGAGTGATAATCTAATAATGTTTTCTATGTGCTCTTAGCAGCCATTGAACACAATGAAAAAGAAAAGGATTAACTTAAAAAATATTAAAGAAGACAGTTGTACTTCATCACTGTGTCCCACTATAGCCAATTTGGCAATCATTGGACACAATGAAAAAGAATAGGTTTTTTTTTTTAAATATTAAACAAGATATTTATAGTTTATCACTGTGTCCCACTATAGCCAATTTAAGGCACATAGAAAAAATTATTAGATCACTATTTTTTTTAACCAGAAAACTGCTTCTTTTAATAGATGAGGGAAGGACTTTTTTATTTGGCAAGAATATTGTAAATATTGTATAAAAACAGGTTTAATTTTTATTGGTTTTTTTTTTTTTTTTAAAGAAAACGTATTTCCAATCACAGAATTACATTGTTTTTTATGCTGTTGAAAAAATGATGCGGCCAAGAAAAAGAAACATTTTTTAAAATTTCCGCATCAATATTTCCCAATTTTGTTGAAGCGGGCTGGAGTGATGATCTAATAATTTTTTTTGTTGTATAGGCATAATTATGATCTGTTCATTGTGCGTTCGATTTTGATAATGATAGAAATGATAGGAACACTGTATGATCAATGTGCACCAAAATAAATAGATGATTAACATAAAAAGTATGATGCCGTTTAATTGTGCAATACTGCTATTGTTTCTACAATTTGGTGGAGTAATGTAGTTCATGTGGTTATCATTGGAAAGTTATTGATCTATTAGTAAATTCTATAATCTGGTTGTTGTACACATATAGACATATTTTTTACATTTTTCATTTTATTTCTTTTTTCATGTTCTTTACAATTCATGACAAAGTAAACTCAACCATACATATTCAAAAACAGAGCGACGAAAAGTACCTCCTCCTCTAAAATCACCTTATTTTGCGAATTAGCGTCCCTCAACTGATAATCGAGCCCCCCCCCCACTTCAGCTTTGTC